TTCCAATTCTAGGGATAAGCTGGCAACCAATATCCGTTAGAAACCTACCAACTGCCACAGTTACCTTGACTATATATTCTCATATCCTGCTTCCTGTAAGGACTCCATCCTGTTCTCCCAGTTTCTTCATGTGTCACATCTTTTCTGATGATGCCACCTTTTGCATGAGGGCCAAAGAAATGTCAACTTTTTTCCTCAACAGACGATTTGCCCACCATTGCATTTGACAGGGCCCTCAGTCATGTCTGATCCATTTCCTGCACTCCCAAAACAATGATAGAGGCCTCACTTTCAGCCCACCATTCTCCGCATCCAAAGGATCATAAGCTGGCATTTTGGTCACCTCCAGTGGGATACCACCACCAGACACATCTTCCTCTCCCCTCCCTTGTCAACATTTTGCAGGGCCCATTCCTTCCGGGTCCACGCTTCCTCCATTTCCCAACACTTTCCCACACCCGTACAGAACATTCCCATGTAATCTCAGAAAGTTCAACATTTGCCCATTTACCTCCACACTATCCAAGGTCCCTGACACATGTTCTAGGTGCAACAGTGATTTACTTACACTTCATTCAATCTAGTCTATTGAATTTGCTGCTCACAATCCTCTACTCTGGGGACTAAATGCATGACCAGGTGACCACTTTTGCTAAACACCTATGCTCAAGCCAAAAAAATTACCACAAGCTTCCTGTTGCCTACCATGACAACACAGCCACCAGGCCAACATTTCAGTCTCAGGCCTACTACAGCGCTCCAATGTTCAACACAAATTGGACAAACAATACTTGATTGATTCTGCGAAGGCACCTTACACAACTTTCAGGATGCAACATTAAGTTTAACAATTTCAAAACACAAACACTCTCCCTTGTTTGTTTCCTTCCCCAACACCCCTTTGCCCTGTCCCACATGGACAGCTCCAAGCACAGCCAACCCGTTTCAAATATTTACACTTCTCGTCAGCACATCACCTAGCCATTCTTTCTCTCTTAATCATCAATCTTTTTGTTTACCCTATTCCTTTTCACTCTTTCTCTAGGCACCTTCTCCATGTGCTCAATTCCAATCCAACTCCTCAACCACACCTAATCATCAGCATAAATTCCAGCTCCAACAAAGAGTTAACATTTCAAGTTCAGTGATGCTGTCTCCTCCCTATAGATGCTGCCAGACCTTCTGTGTTTCTCCAGCACACTGCTTTTAAGAGGGATGAAAGTAGCACTGATTGAGATAGTCCAGAGCTTGACTGGAGCATTATGGGTTCTAATTTTCAGAAATGACTTTCAGGCCACATTGTTATCAGGAAGAACCCAGGAGAAAACTGGTGAGGTTCAGAATTTGAATTCATAATGGCACAATTGCACTTGAATGATCTGCAGCAAACTCCCACCTGTCAGCTGACCAAATTGACTGCCTGGTTCGTGGGCAGGAACACAAATTGGCTTTGTGATTGCAGTGGGAATGCAGGTACGATCAGTACAGAAAACTTCAGCCAACAATCAAGCCTGCCTTTTGCAAGAGAATTAACTATGTCCACACTGGGCAGGGGACACACGGTGGGTTGGGTTGAAATAGGCTGGTCTCAGAAATTGCATGCACTGATACGTACAAGTGCCTTAAAATTAGGACGTGCAACTAAGTGGAGGAACCAGCACAGAAATTACAAGAGTTGGGTAATAATTAAGTAAATAGAAAAATGTTGACTAAATTAGTATGAGTACAAACGTAAAGCACAACACAAAAAAAAGGCACAAACACGTTCTTCATGAATAATCATAAAAGAAACTATCGTGTATGGAAATATGCAAAATATCAGACCAATGCGTTCTAATTGGAACATGCTGCAAGAAACTTTCTGTGCAAAAATCTTTAATTAAAATTTCCATGGACAGCAATAATTTTTAAAATAAGATTCAAACCTTTCGTTATTAACTGGAAGAATAACTAAGATTTCACATTTTGCAGCAATTACCATAACTGACTAAAAAATACACTGTCGACTCAAGACTTTAGGTGGAATTTTTCCAGTCTTTAAATGACATTGGCAAAGGAAAGGAAGTTGGGAGAATATGGTGAGAATGAAAACATGAGATTCTCAACGTTGAGAAAATAATCAAAAATTTTCCCATTAAGGTTTCAACAGCTGGATGAAAATGTCACCAGTAAGCTGCAAGAGCCCTACTTGATTATATTACAATGCACCAGTCTCACCACATCATCATGGCATAGTTCAGACTAACGTAACATAAATCAAGATTTCAAGACTGTACTTTGCTGCCAGGCCACTATACCTGCAGGGACAGGTAGCCAGCTCATACAGAGACAGTTATATCTCAGAACTCACACTTATGCTTATTTCAATGCTCAAGCATCTCTGTTTTGCTTGATTTTTTGCGTAGTCAGAAAGCACAGCAGCCTGGCATGCTTGCCAAATGAATTGTCAAGGAAGTGGACATATAGATATACAGCACCATGCTACATCAATATCAAACCTATAGCATGTGCTGGCAACTTACACTGCAAACATATAATACTGCACTTCAACTAAATAGCCATGTCTGAAAATCTAAGGGGTGGAGTCCTTAGTCAGGTCAAGGCGGACTATAGAGAGTCATCAAAGGCATCATCCAATGTCAGTCCAGAGTTTGGCCACAATCAGTCCTGCAGGTCCAATGCATCCAGTCCAGGGACTGCCAATAAGTCAATTGAGAAACTGCACAGAAATCGATCAAGAAAGGTTAGGCGAAGCGTCCAAGTGAGTGAGTGAGTAGAAAGAGCAGAAGGCAAGGGGCTAGTAATTTTGGGTGTTGGGTTTGGCAGAGCCATTAAGGGAAGATGCTGCACGCAACTGTGAAAATTATAGACCATAAGCTTTGATGGGAGGTGGATGGAGTAGTAGAGCTGGAGTGAGTGTAAAGTAACAGAAAGCAATTATCCTTGTGGGATGCAGAAGGTCTTCAGCCTTCTTGCATCATTGCATGTTCCTCTGGACCATGGACAAAACACAGATATAGATGGCTACTTCAAACCAGGCTGGCAGCATCCAGTCCCCTGAGGAGGTCCAGAGAAAGAGGATGGCCCTCCACTCCATGATGTCATCCAACAGAACCTCGGCGTCCCTTTTGAAAAGCAGAGGGCCAACTTGCCTCTCAGTCGTGTTATTTGGAATTACCCAGCATCACACCAGAATGTAAGTTCTTCGTATGCAGCGTTTGAAACGTGGTGCAACTAGAGTTTAGGTATGGTAGCTGTAGCATGAACGCCTGACTCCAGTAAGCACTGCTGAGCACAAAAGCTGCATTAAGAACAGTGCTATGCAGGTGAATGCATAATTAACATGGAGTATAGTGCAGGATTAGAGTCAGAGACGTACAGCATAGAAAAAGACTCTTCAGTCCAACTCGTCCATCCAACCAGATATCCACAATTAACCTAGTCCCATTTGACGGCATTTGGCCCATATCCCTCTAGATCCTTCCTATTCATATACCCATCCAGATGCCTTTTAAATGTTGTAATTGTACCAGCCTCCACCACTTCGTCTGGCAGTTCATTCCATGCAGAGGATCGTGCGTGTTTGAAAAAGTTGCCCCTTAGGTCCCTTTTATTGTGTAAGGGAAGTTGCCAGGGCTAATGGACAAAAACCTTCCTCTCCAAGATTACATTTAGCCAAAACACAGGAAAATTCAGAGAGACTCATAACGCATACAACACTTCATTGAACTATAGTCCTTTTCATAAACAGTCCAGGGGTGTTCCTAACTTCCCACAGGTTTCTATAATCATTTTTTGCCAAATTCTAACTTTTAGCGACAGCCTGCGGATGCTTTCCTCAATTTTAGGAGACTTTCTTAAATCCACCACCCACAGTTAAGCTTGCTAGATAATTCTCTTCTCCAGCCATGTCAAGTCAAATCTCCCAGGATCTTTAGATAGCTACAAGATGCATCTCTTCTGGATACACCTCCCTCCTGAATCCAGCTATGGTAACTCTTAAAGCCAAACAGTTTCCTGTTTCTGCTGACTACACAGAACCTGCTGTCTGACTTGATATTCATTGCTTTGCAGCATCTTTGTAATTTGACCTCAAACATGGCAACAAGACGCTACACTTAATGCACAGTGAGTTAGCTATCATTCATCCCAAATCCATTTTGTCTTTAAAGAAAACGTATAGTTCGGAGCACATCTGTTTATAACCCGCTACCTTCATTTTACTCTGACTTTGGGAGACTCTATCCATTTATTGAAAAATTAGACTCTGCTGCCATTGTTTCCAAGTGTAAATACCTTGCTTCTTTCACCTGGTTAAAAAAAAACACAGCCCACCATCTCTAATAAACAAACTACCTTGGTTTCTGAGGAAGGGACATTCAACGCAAATCGTGAATTCTGATTTCTCTTCGCAGATGCCGCCAGACCTGTTGAGCTTTTCCAGCACAGACAACAGACCAAATGTCTTCTCCTCCAATACTGTAACCATTCTTCAATTTTTATGTCAAATAGTATTGCCAAGGTTAACACAATGGCCTTGAAAATTGTACAGCACTGGGGATCTTATTTATCCTGTACAACTTGAATACTATACAAGGCCTTGATTCTCTGCAGGCAATATTATTTGAGATCATGATGTAATGAGCAACCACATGAAACATTTGGCAGTGGAAACAATGATATTCAGACTTTATTCAAAGTACTGGTTACCAGCAAGTCCAAATAACCTGCCTATCTGTACAAGAACACACAATTCATAAACTCAACACACAACCTTGTAGAGTAATGGCAAACAAGAGGAATGGGGGTTAAAAACAAGTTAAGTCTCAAAATCCAGGTACCAGAAATAACAAACCTTTACTTCCAAACAAAGCATCAAATGCCTTGAATGTTAACAAACCATTAGCAATCTCGCAGCTTAACCAAATAATAAATGCAGCCTCAACACAAGATGAAATTGACAACTCATGTGTTTTACATGATATTCAAATTCAGCTCACCTTATTGTTGTCCCCTGAAGCCTGTCAATTTTCTTATTTAATTCTGCAATTATACTGTGAAGCTCAGTGATACGTTCTTCATAGCGCAGAGTTGCCCTTTCCTGAGTTTCTTCATGCTCCCTCATTAGATGAGACTGTTCACACTGAAAAGAAAATTAACACAGCTGGGGAAAACTTGAAACAAAATTATCATTTTCTCATCTAAAAGTAGATGTTAGAAATACTCATCAAAAAAGAAAGCATCTAAGGAGATAGAATTAGAATTAATGTTGCAAGTTTGTGATCTTTCATCAGAATTGAGAAAGATTAGAAATGCAAGTGAAAGGATAAGGTTAGGAAGGAAGTTCTACAAAGAGAACAAAGATTAAACAACGGGTGCCATGATACAAATCAAAAGGCAGTTGTAATGGGACAAGAAATAAAAGGTCTATCTAGAGGAGGTGTGAATGGTGAGATAGCTGCTGTCAAAACGCAAACTGAAGGAAACGAGAGACAAATGCAGGAAAGAGACTAAATAGTGAAAGAAAAATGAGTCAAAATCAGGAGGTATGGGAGAGGTTATGATCTAAAATTATTGACTTCAGAAGGCTGTAAAGTGCCTAGATGAAAGACGTGAAACAATTTCTTAAGCTTGTGTTTATTTTTTTGGAATACAGTAGCAGGTCAAGGACAGAGAGAGAGTAAAGTGGAGAATTAAAATTACAGGCAACTGTAAGGCTCAGGATTATGCTTGCAGACTAAATTACTGTTTTCCAAAAAGTCATCCAGTGTGCACTGAGTCACCCCAATGAAGAGGAGACCGCATCATAAAGTGAATGCAGTATGTTAAACTGTTGTGTCACTTGTAAGGAATGTTTGGGATCTTCGGCAGTGAAAAGAGAGAAGGTAAAATGGCAGGTCTTGTATTTCCTGCACTTACATGGACAGATGCAGTGGGAAGAGGGGAGTGTTGTGAGATTTCAAAGTTTGCAGATGACACAAAACTTGAAGAATTGTAAGCTGACAGGAGGCGCATAAGCTTCTAGGGTGAGCAACGAATAGTTTAGACTGTGTCTTAGGCAGGCACTTAACATTTATGAAGCATCTGGATGAGCACTTTAAATGCCAGGGCATTGGCGTCATCTGAAAAAGTATAATAGAAATGGCTAAACAAAGAAAGGAAGGATGTTTGAGGAAGCTCTAGGAGTCAAAGGACTTACACTGAATATTAGTCTATAACTTGTCCTCAGAAATGGAGACAAAAGAATCACAGGAAGGGAAGTCAGAGATGGACTATGTAAAGTTGAAACTTAAACGGAAATTGGAAATTGGAAATCAATAACATTCAGGGTAGCATCACAACTGTACAAATCAATTTACCAAAGAGGTATATTCAGGAGCCTGAGTAACACTGCAACAAAGAACATCCCACATAAATTGACCAAAAGGGCAATCATATGCAGGACCTGTGGTTTTCCAAAGAAAGTGAGTAGACTTGAAGGAGTTGTTGTTCAATGTGGAGAACAAGTTCAATCAAACAAAAGTTGTGGCATCAGTGGATGAGGTATGGTTGGACCTCAGTTCATGATTGGCTGTGGGAAGATTGCAGAGATTTAATCTGATTTACTAATTATGGAATTCCTCAGCTTTGTCAATAATGCCATGCTTCCAATGTTTCACATGCATGTAGTCTTTTGTATTGTATCTTCATCAGCTTGGTATCCAAGTTTTAACTATGTCTGGCATTGATTCCGTCACATTTCTTAAAAATGCCTAACAAAAACAAGGTTGTTCTCCTGGATTGATGGTATGGTAGTGAGGGATATGCTGGGTCACAAGTTTGCAAATTTTGGTTGAATATAATTCTTCTTTTGCCCACAGTGCCTCAAAATATCCATTTATGAGATGTTAGATACTTTCTGAATCTCTCTCATTTAGCATAATGGCAGTGCCATGCAAATAAAATCACGCCTACTGCATGAAAGGGTTGTTTTTCTTTTCTTTTTTTTGGTGAGGGGGGGCGGGGGGAGCAGAATTTCATCTTCACAATGAAAATGTGGTAGTTTCTCCTAGTGTCATCACGGAGAAATCCAGCAGCAAACTTGCTCTGAATAGAGAATCCATCCCTTAACTTCCCCGAGAGGTCACTTCCCTCAGTTTATATGTGGAGCCTAACATGATTCTAGGTCAGATATCCCATGTTATTTTGATGGAAGCTGCTTGTGCTGTAACGAAAGCTCAGACTGCTAGTATGGGTAGGGATGCTAGTGTTTAAAGGACATCAAAGCGATCCTTCAATTGTTCTTCAACACATAGCACAAATCTGTATTCCTCTCAGGTTAACAATGCTCCACTTGTCATTCCCAGTGCCCTTGCTGTTAACTACAGCTAGCCAAACTTAACAGCAACAGCCCATTCCACTTGTAGTTTCCTCACTGAACTTTAGCAGATTTCCATTACCAATGCTGCAATTACTGGAGGAATTACAGGAGAGGAAAGGTACCAAGGAAATGCACAAGTATGGTTAATTTATATTTTTATGCACGGTCATCACTGAATTTACCAATTTAGATTGGAATGTGCATTTTCTTGCTGTTGTTTTTGCATTGTCAGAAAGAAGGCCATATAATTATCAGCAGTGATGGCGGAACAAAGAACTTGGATCTGTTGGCAAACATGAAGGATGCAGTCACTGGTATCATTGCCGATTTCTTCTTCCTGGTCTCCCATTTCTTGTTCCCCTACATTCGCTGCTGCACAGATGAGACACTCAAACAGGAAATATGTTTGCTATGAGCTTTCAGATTTACCAATTCTGAAATCCCTGGTTAATGACACACCGATAGCATTCACTCCTTCTACCTAGGATGTACAGTGATAGTGGCATGTACTATAAACAATATACATTACAGCAAATTGTCAAAGTTTCTTTGACAGCATTTTGCAAACCAACAACTTCTACCACCTATAAAGGTCAAGAGCAGCTGATGTATGGAAACACCTGCAAGTTCCCCACCAAGCTGACCATGATACTAACTTGGAGCCATATTGTTGTTTTTCCGTGACACCAGGTCAAACACCTATCGTAACATCACTGAAATTGTACCTACATAAAATTCATTGGAGTAGTATAAGAAAGCACCACACCACCACCTTCACAAGGACAATTAGCAATGGCTAAAAATTCTGGCCTTACCAGTGAAACTGGTTTGAAGAATGAACAAGAATAAACTGTCTAGGAATCAATGGCACCCTGAACCATGGGGAAGCCTGCAGACCCTTGTATTTGCTTCATCTCTTTTTCTCTGGCAAGACAGAATGCAATGAAGTTAACCAGTCTGTATGTGGACAAACTTATGCAGCAGTGTAGTGTGAACTAAGATGTTGCTCATCTCTCCAGTAGCAGTCTAGAAGGAAGCAGGAGTTCACAAATTTAGACCTGCTACCCTTACTGTCCATTGAAACCCCATTTCTGCCTGCAACTGTTGGTAGGTTTTAATCATAAATCCCTTAAAGATGTTTCAGCATTGATCCTGGCAGAAGTTGAAGAAAGTAAATTGCTCCCTTCAAGAACTTAATGGAAATGACCTGCTGAGAACCCTTCTTTTCTCCCTGGTCTTCCCTCCTTCTCCCTTGGAACAGGTCTTCTCTTTATGCTCCCAGTCAAGTTTAATTCAATAAGGCAGGCCCACCAGGCCACCACCTCTGGAAGAAACTTGTTTTAGCACAGGTTTCCAACACAAGTTTTTAAACTGAACTTCAGAATCAACCAGACCTCACTCTCACTTAAAGTTCAAGTATAGAAAAGTTTCAAAAACACCAACAATTTTACCAGCTAAAGCAGAAAATCAAACTAGTTTAAAATCCTTTAAAATAGTGCAAGTTAGGAAAGTTATTCATCCACTAAGCATTATGTTGATCTGTTTAAGTTCAAGACAGGGCAAGAGGTGGAAATGTGGCACTAACAAATGACTGACTGATTCATTAAAGTCATAAACTGCCCAACAGTCATACTGCAGGCAATCTCTGGATGCACACAAATTCCTTTAACCAACAGAACATCTGGCATAATTCCTATTGAAAGCCATTTTTCAACACAGATACGGTCAAATTTTAAGAACCATACTATAGCACCCAAATTTTCCACTTTTACATTACACTCTACAAATATTATACACATCTGCATGTTCAAAACCACTTATGAAGATTAAGTCATATTCTACTTATTTTCTAGTGCATTTATTTTCTAGACAGGATTTTCTGAAGTTAAAAAAAACTGACTTGAGTCATTTCGTAATGACATAAATTTCAGCAGAAATGATGTAATCTATACCTTACTTGAAAAAACCATTTCATAAATCAAATTTTAAATTAATCACTGCAGAAAGGTTGAATATCTTGAAATTATATACATGGTTATCCCCATAATCAGTTTTAACAAACCCAGTTGTTCTAAACAATAACCAATATCACAGAATATAATCTATAAATTTTTGTCTTTCACTGACCTGAGATTTTGCCAACTTCTTTTCTAACAAGTCCCTCTCCCGTTCTGTATGTTGGAGTCTTTTATTGAGATCCACTATGTCTGTTTTTAATGATGCTAGGGCCGCTAAATGTAGCTGGTGAAGAAAAACAAAATAGAATTACTTAAGGATTCAAATTTAAGAGATATATAAATCTGCTCAAAGTGATATATTTTTCAGAGCTGTAAATTAAGAGCAGCTGTTCACTGGTGCAGACTCTTCCACTGCACATTATCCACTCTCTCTTCACGTAGTGTCCTTGTAGATTGAGCGCTTCTGATCACCATGGGGTAAGGTGAGAAGGCAGGCCTAAGAACCACCCAGCTGGAATGGGATCCAACCCACACTACTGAAACCACTGCACCACGTTCTAACCATATGGCCAAATAACCAGCTGCTAGAATGTTGTTATGGTGCTTATAACATTGGTTCAACAAATTGTATTTTGACTCCAGGGAGACAAATATTCAGCCTCAGGGTTAATACCACATAGGCCCCAGACAATACCATAGTTTACTACTATGCTTACCGACTATTAATGATAGTGAATATTTAATATATTGATATAGTAGGTCTTGTCCAGAATACCTCAAAACATTTTAATTAGGCAAAACTAGATAATGTTAAAATAAATGAGTATTGCTTAAGTTCAAAATATATATTTCTCAAATAAAATTACAAAAGATCAAAATGATTATTTTACCACCTGACAACTGGAGAGAGCAGTGGAGGCTGAGTCACTAAGTACATGCAAAGTTGTGTTGGCCAGATTTTTGATCAACAAGGGAGTCAAAGATTTGGGAGGGCCAGATAGGAAAATGGAGTTCCACCACAATCAGGTTAGCCACAATCTCATCGGAAAAGACTGCAGGTTTGAGGAGCCAAATGGCCTTCACCTGCTTCCATTTCATATTTTCTAATGTTTAAAAACTGAATGCAACAAAGGGCAGAATTTTGAACTGACAAATTCCACTTTACAATTTTTTTTAAACCAGCTAAATGAGATCATTCCTACAGACTTCTGTATCCCAAGAACATAACCAAACTTTCAATATTGCAAACAGTTCAGGATACTCCTTTTCCAGGGAAAACATCTGAACTATTAATTTTTTCCTAACCTTTAGCTAACTATTTTTAATGCAAAATTAACTGATTTAAACACTAATGCAGTATTATGTATGCTCTGTACTATATTTGCTCTCAGCATGTAAACCACATTCATTGCTCAACACTAACTGCCCTGAAAAACTGAGGAAAATTGTCCACCCCAAACTGCTGCAGGCCTTGTTCCGTTAAAACACCCACAATTACGTCAATAGGAATTCCAGAATTTTAAATCTAACAGACAGTAAGTTCCCATTTTAACTTGTTCCAATTTAATGTCAGTTTATAGGGGCAGCATTCATGCTTAACAGGGAGGTCCATTTAAATCTCCTTGTGTGTTGAGTCTGTTATGGGGTTTCATGACCCAAATTGGCACCATTTGAGTGGCCTCTCTTATTCGCTGCCCCAATGATTGCCACCAACACTTTTGTCTCACCAGCCCTCCCAACTGCTTCCAGCATTCCGTCTCATTGGCACACTGAGGGAGGAAACAACATACAGTACAAAAGGGGAGCAGGCAGTTCGGTGAGAGGGTCAGATGTAGGAAAAGGTTAGCAAGCCATGAGTAAGGTCAGTGAGTGGGGTCAGACAGCAGGATATATAGTAAGACCCAGATAATGTTCTGGGAACCAGGGTTCAAATCCCACCATGGCAGATGGTGACACTTGAATTCAATGAAAAAACATTCTGCAATTAAGAGTGTAATGATGACCATGAATCCATTGTCAGTTGTCAGAAAAATCCCATCTGGTTCACTAATGTCCTTTAGGGAAGGAAACTTCCATTTTTTCCTGGTCTGGCCTACATGTGACTCCAGACCCACAGCAATGTGGTTGACTCTCAACTACTCTCAGGGCAATTAGGGGTGGACCATTATTGCTGGCCTGGATGCCCCTATCCTGCGAATGAATTTAAAAAAAAACATGGTTCAGAGACCACAGGGCCCAGGAAATAGTTCAGGCAGAAAGCTAGAAGATTGGGGTGCAACGAAGACATCCAAAAGAGAGACGCTAGAGGTACATACAAATTGTCTGTATATTTCTTCAATATTTTCAGACTTAGTTCAAAAACTGTTTCATCTACAAATGTAGGAATTTAATAAAGTTTTACATTTTACAAGACATGTTTTAATGTCTTTTTTCATTTGATGAGAAAGTTCCTACAGAACCTGATAAGGGCTAGTTACTATTAATTACACTGGCTGTACTGGGAAATTCTTATTCAATGTTTTATTTAAAGTTGCATTTTTCAGGAACTGCAATGTTAAACAAGGACTTGCAATATTTGAAAGGAAAATATATGTGCAAAAGCAAAATCAAGATGACACTGAAAATCGGACACAAAAATCAGAAATTGTTGGAAGTACTAACCAGGTCAGTAAGCAACTATGAAGAGACAAGATAACATGCCCTTTTCAATAGAATCGTTAACCTTAATTTTCCTCTCCATAAGTGCTTTCTGTAGTGCTATTTCCAGTATTTTCAGTTATTAAATACGTGTGAAGTCAGGATAGTAAGCTACTTGGAGGTGATGCTATCAATATGCTTCTGCTGTTCATTCCATTCTTGATGGTACTTATTGCTAAGTAACAGCCACAGTACTTTTTTAAATTCATTCATTGGTTGTGAACACTGCTGGCATGGTTTATCAATTACAATTGAGTAATTTGCTCATCTGTTTTAGAGGGTCAATAGATTACTGTTGGTAGTACTGAACTTGAGCATTGCTGAAAGAATGAAGTGATGTATTGTAAAAGCTTTTCAGCTTGCACCCATACAAATACAAGAATACCAAAATTCAAATTGTACAATGTGTACAACATGAGAAATGGTCAGCAAATAGATTCTAATTGGTTATTTTGTTGCCATGGAAAATGCATGAGCCAACAGTTATCACCCAGGCTTTTAAGTTAAAATTACTGATGCTGTTCCTATGCCATAAAGGCGTTCTACCAACCTCAAAAATGATTGGTGTAGTGTATGAATTTCACAGCTGGAGAGGGGTCAGGTATGCAAGCCATATGACACATGAAAAAACATGGTGCTTCAGCTATTCACATCAGGCTGACAGTGACTACAATCAGCCTTTGCTTAGAAAATAGAGTTCAATAGTGGGTGGACTCTGTCGCACTTCCTGTACGCCACTGAGCTTCTGTTGATTTGCTGCCATTTCAACTCTCTTTTCCTTCTTATCCAGTACTGAATATTTCTAGATATCCAGGATTCTTTGAGCATTATATTTCACCCTGAAAGTAACATATTGGGTCTGTACTATATATTTTTTGAATGAACATGGATGATTTACATGACAAATAAGAGAAGGTACAAGTTTATACACACATTAAAATGATATCACAACTGAAGCACTGGACAAAAGTTCTGAGAAGTTGTGGCAATTGAACTAATGGCGAAGCTAGGGGATTCCATGAACATTCTCATCTGCAATGATAGCAGATGCCAACACAAGCAAAAAAAAACTGATTCATTGGCAAACATCTTCAGCCTGAAGCAGACAGCTGATCTTGGTTTCCATGAGCTCCCACTAGTGTGCCAACCTTCAGTTAATTTGATTCACTTCCATTAAGTCAAGAAATGGCTGACTACACTGGATATAGCAAAGATTGTAGGCTCTGTTGATATCTCAGTGGCATTGAAGACCTCCTGTGCTCCAGAAATAGCTACACCTCAAGCCAAACCATCCCTATGTAGCTACAACACCGGTACCTACCTGACAATATGGCAACTTTCTAATGTATGGTGTGTCCACAGAAAGAAAACCTAATTCTTTCAATGAACACCCAAATTCACTGTCAAAGGTAGTACCATCGAGTGGGACTTGCTTTCCAATAACCTGCTGACTGACACGCAGTTTATATTCTGCAAGGAAGCCTTGGTTCCAGACTTGCAGTGTTTCAGTCCTACTTCTGCTTCAGCTGTCTCTTCAATCATAAGGTCCCCATCATAAGGTCAGAAGAACGAATTCTCAAAAATTATTGCACAGTCATGTCTGCAACTCCTCGAACAATGAAGCTATTCATTTCTGCAATGTACAAGTCCAAACAACAGTCAACGTTGGGCCAATAATAGCAAAGTAATGTTGTGCTGCACAACAGCGGGCACTGCCCATCTCCAGCATCATAAAATACCTACAGTGTGGAAGCAGGCCATTCGACACATTGGGCCCATACTGACCCTCTGAACTGCATCCTACCCAGACCCACACTCCCTACCCCTGTACATTCCCCATGGCTCACTCACATAGCCTGCACTTCCCTGGACATTATGGGCAATTTAGCATAGCCAATCCACCTAACTTGCACATTTTTGGACTGTGGGAGGAAACCCACACAGACACTGGGAAAACGTGCAAACTCCACTCAGACAGTCGCCCGAGGATGTAATCGAACACAGGTCCTTGGTGCTGTGAGGCAGCAGTGCTAACCACTGAGCCATCACGCTGCCCCACCAAGAACCTAATCCCACCACCCATGGGATTCAGAACAATTACTGATGCTAAATTGCTCACCAGCAAAATCCTATGTTTACCAGTGACCAGAAACTTAGTTTGAACAGCCACATAAATACTATAGCTGAAGATCAATTTATCACATTCTGTCGCCAGTTCCTCATCTCCCTACTCCCCAAAGTCTACCTAATACCTACTGGGCATAAGTCAGGAATTTGATGGAAGATCACTGCCCGAGTACAACGTCAAAATAACAAAGTCTGCTTCCAGGGGGAAGTATGGCACCATATCAAACACTCCCTTCATCACCAGTGCAGTGGTTACATGTGTACTTTCACGAAATGTACTGAAGAAACTCACCAAGGTTTCTTCATCAGCATCCTTCCAATATAGAAGTCACTACCACCCAAAGGAACACAGTGTTCCCATAGACCTACAACCTAGCATTTGAAAGTTTCCCTTCAAGTCATACACCATCCTGCACTGGAATTCTCTCTAGCACTGAGTCAAAATTCTGGAATTCCCAA